CTAAGGATAACACAGAGACATAAACCAAAAGACAGAACTCTAACAAAGAAACTAAAGACTATAAATTATAAATAATAATAATAAACTCAAAAACTCTGGGTCAACGACCCAGGCATCCTAACAGAAAATGACATATTAGCGGTACTAATGTTATTTTAAAAGTTTTTCAGCAGTTCTAAGGGACTGTTTGAGATATAATATGTCACATAGGACACATTACTATTCGTCGGATTTATTATTCTTATTCTTATTTTCCTTTTTCCGCCTGAAATTTTGCAGTGAAACTCGCCCCACAGTTTTGAGACAAGGTTCACATATGTTATATCAGAATGGTGGAACACTCCATATCCCACAATTCATAGCACGCCTCTACCGAGTGAAACAATGGCGGCTGCCACCTCGTTTTTATATTCCTCTTATTCGTGTTTCTAGGTCACAAAATAAACTTTTAAGATATTTTCAGGCGAGAATGTAGGTGTGTAAACTTCAAATATCTGCTCGTTTTTATCCAGAAATCCCATATTAGCAAAAGTTCTCTTACGTGTTGCTAGGGTCGCTAGCTAGCTAGCGCTGCTAGCGACCCTTCGCTCAAAAGCACCCGGGCTTGGCTTTCAGTGAGGCGGCTCTAACTCCTTTCACCCCCGGTCGCTCGCAAACAACCTGTGTCTCAGCTGGACTTATTTTTCGTTTATATGGGCCGATGATGCTGGTCGATGTGGAAAAAATAGTTTTCTCACGACGTTGCTGCTAGCCGGCTAGCCAGCTAGCCGCGCTAGCTAGCCGGCTAGCGACCCTTCGCTCAAAAGCACCCGGGCTTGGCTTTCAGTGAGGTGGCTTACACTCCTTTCACCCCGATCGCTCGCAAACAGCCTGTGTCTCAGCTGGACTTATTTTTCGTTTATATGGGCCGATGATGCTGGTCGATGTGGAAAAAATAACTGAGTTGTTTGGTGGTGGCTAACGCGGAGCTACAACAGAGGGCAGCTAGCCACCGATGTTTGACAGAAAGGGCATGCGGGGAAAGAGACATGCGAGGCAGCGAGGCGG